GCCAGTCAGCCATTTTGAATCCAATCTGACAAATAAAATGACGTGCATCAGGAACCAGTAATGTCTAATGTATGTACCAAGTTTGACTGAAATCCATCCATAAATGCCATAAATGCTTGATATTTGATGATTTTTTAGCACAAAAATGACCACCATTCGGCCATTTTGAATATGATCGTCGAACCAATATATCTGTTTATCTATGACATGATGTATAATGAAAATTTAAAATTTGAACATAATCAGTCAAAACAAGTCAGAGATATGGCACGAGAACCACATTCATTAAAACAAAATGGCCTCCAGCCGGCCATTTTGAATCTTATCTGAAAAACAAAAATATTTGCATGAAGGGCCCATAATGTCTAATGTATATACAAAGTTTGAACAAAAACCATCTGTAAACAGCCGAGAAATGCTGGATTTTTAGGATTTTTCAGCACAAAAATGGCCGCCATTCGGCCATCTTAAATCAGATCGTAAAACAACATGTTGTGCATACATGTATGTATAATATCATGTGTGATGTATGTGTGAAGTTTGATTGTGATTGGTCCAGGCATTTCTAAGATACAGGTCCGGACGCACGCACACACACACGCACGGAGGTCAAAACATAAGTCCCCGTTTTCGGACTGCGTCCGAACGGGGACTAAATATTACATGTAGGTACACATACCATAATATTTGAACAAAGCAAAATCATACGTCATTGTACCAATCACTGCATGCCTCATTGATGTCTCTTAATGAATCAGTCAGACAGAAGTATTGGTTGGTTAAAATAACTTATAAATTCTTGGCAGTACTAATAATTTGATATCAAAGTTGTTTACATAAACGTGTTGTTTTGATGGTTCAAAACTTGAGTTTAATGATCCATTACTAGGACCCAACCAATTAAATAAAAAAACACAACATTGTAAAATAGAAGAAGAAACGTTTTTTGAAAGAAAATTAGTCAGTTTCACATCGCCAGTGCATCTAACAATAAGTTTTAGTATCACACACCACATTATTTGGACTCAAAATACTGAAATACAAATAAATAACAGGGAAAAAAAATACGCTGAATAAAACAATGTACATAGATTGGCACTCGAAAAAAATAGTAAAAAATATTGCAAGTATATTGATAATACTGCTTTATTACTCAAGGCAGTAGATAACTTGCAATGATGCAATACAAATAGTGCTCAATTCTAGTCAAACAATTAAAAAAACATAAATTTCAGAAAAACATAGTAAGATTATTTCAAAAATAGTCAGAAGACATTGAAATGTGTTCTGTTTGTTACTCAAGGTTTGTATTAGTATCATATAAATTCAAACCAGCATAGAAAACAGCATGGTTTTTAGAATATAAAATCATGGTGGAATTTTCAGAGAACAAGTTATGAGTACAAAAGGTTGAGTGATATACAGTGTTTCATTTGTTTCCAAAAAAGCACAATTTCTGTAAAAATCACTTTTTACTTTAACTAAGTTTCAAGGCAGATCTAATTTTGTGGTTGTGATCAAGTGAAAGCATTCACTCAGGGTAGACATTTCATAGCAAACTAAAGAAATGACATTTATTTTATGTCCTTATACCGTTATTAGTGATATTTTATTTTTCTCATAAAAAGACTTAAAGAAGAAAAAAAAAGGCCAGACAAAATTTGGAAGACCACAAAAAAATGCACCATTTTGTGCTTGCTCAGAATTTTAGATGAACAAAACTGAAATATATGGAGTAGATACAATGTAATAAATAATGGTTGAACAGTAAGGCAAACCAAGAAAAGAATATAATATTTAACAAAATTGTTGTCCTTGAACGCCGGTAATATAACAGTGCATGAGGGAGTGGAGGAAATTGACTCCCCCCACCCTCCAATAGAAGAGCAAAACAATGTAGCATCAAAACAGCAATTACAAGGCAGCTGGAGTGATTCTAAAACATTGTTGTATATGCTTATCTAAAGTACTTTCATTCATGAAAGGCACAGCAGTTATTAAATAAATTTGTTACAGAGAGAGAGAAGACTTAAAACTTAGAAATAGCTAATACAAATAATAATGCCTTCTCTAATATTTAAACATTTTAAAAGTTAAAATACACAAAATAGTTTGTAACTTATCTGAATGAGTATAACATGTAATATTTAGTTAGATTATATATTAAACAAATGTACAGTGTAGGAGCATATGACCTGTAATATATTATTGGAAGCATACTAATCAGTAGTTGGGTTAACTCCCAATATGGGAGACTGCAGCTTTTTAATATATAAATCATATGTCAGTTTAAATGAGCACTTTCAGGTGCGAAAAGCTCACGGGAAAATTGTCTTACTAAATTTAAACTAAAATAGATGACAAAAACAAACAAGGGTGTCCCACAATTTTCATGATTGGTGCAAACCCTTGAAATGACAGCTTTCCTTTTAACTTTCAAGCAGTTATGTGAAGGTAGTGGGACTGTGTTAAAATAAAAGCCTTGTGTCATTTTCCAAATTACATGTGGGGAAAAATAAATTTGGTGGTTGTCGTGCAGCTTGTGGTTGAATATCATGTAAACAAACAATGTATTTTACATGTGTTGTCAATATGGGACTCAGATCGAACACAACGCTACGTAACCACAACCACCCTTTAATTCCTTTCAATAGTATTTTGGATGAAAACCAGAGAGCAAGTTCCAAATTAAGATATAAAGTATTCATCAAAATTAACCAATTTCTCTTTTCTCAGCAATTAACAACATAAGTCAATGGTAAATGATTACATGAAGACTATAAATTTAGAAATTCACACTGCATGCTTTCCAACAAATATTTATATTTTGCTGGTGAGATGAAGAACATGAATGTACACAGACTGACACAAAAACTTTTCACTGCAATGAATCTAGATGGAGTGACACAATGACATTTCACTGCAATGAATCTACACAGTGACACAATGACTTTTCACTGCAATGAATCTACCTTGAGTGACACAATGATTTTTCACTGCAATGAATCTACATGGACAGACACAATGACATTTCACTGCAATGAATCTACACGGAGAGACACAATGAACTTTCATTGCAATGAATCAACATGGAGTGACACAATGACTTTTCACTGCAATGAATCTACCTTGAGTGACACAATGACTTTTCACTGCAATGAATCTACACGGAGAAACACAATGAACTTTCATTGCAATGAATCTACATGGAATGACACAATGACCTTTCACTGCAACAAATCTACATGGAGTGACACAATGACCATTCACTGCAATGAATCTACATGGAGTGACACAATGACATTTCACTGAAATGAATCTACACGGAGAGACAAAATGACTTCACTGCAATGAATCTACATGGAGTGACACCATAACATTTCACTGCAATGAATCTACATGGAGTGACACAATGACTTTTCACTGCAATGAATCTACATGGAGTGACACAATGACATTTCACTGAAATGAATCTACACGGAGAGACAAAATGACTTCACTGCAATGAATCTACATGGAGTGACACCATAACATTTCACTGCAATGAATCTACATGGAGTGAAACAATGACTTTTCACTGCAATGAATCTACATGGAGTGACACAATGACCTTTCACTGCAATGAATCTACATGGAGTGACACAATGACATTTCACTGAAATGAATCTACACAGAGAGACACAATGACCTTTCACTGCAATGAATCTAGATGGAGTGACACAATGACTTTTCACTGCAATGAATCTACATGGAGTGACACAATGACATTTCACTGAAATGAATCTACACGGAGAGACAAAATGACTTCACTGCAATGAATCTACATGGAGTGACACCATAACATTTCACTGCAATGAATCTACATGGAGTGACACAATGACTTTTCACTGCAATGAATCTACATGGAGTGTCACAATGACTTTTCACTGAAATGAATCTACACGGAGAGACACAATGACCTTTCACTGCAATGAATCTACCTTGAGTGACACAATGACTTCACTGCAATGAATCTACACAAGGAGACACAATGCACTTTCATTGCAATGAATCTACACGGAGAGACACAATGACATTTCACTGCAACAAATCTACATGGAGTGACACAATGAACTTTCATTGCAATGAATCTAGATGGAGTGACACAATGATCTTTCACTGCAATTAATTTGCTCACAAATTGTTTCTGCTACAGAAGTAAACAAATATATATATAATATATATTTCTAAAAAGTACATAAATAAAATATCTGGAAGTTAAAATTATTATTTAAAAAAATATTACAAAGATCTCATGAAGAAAGAATTTCCAAGAGTTTGCTTTCCTTAGATTTTTTAAATGCTTTGCTTCTTGGCTGATTTTGTAGTCTCTTGATGTCTCCGGTCTGAAAAAAAAATGATTGCCTGTCAGTCAGTCATAATCAACAAAGAACATCTACCTACAATCTCACAGATGACCATTTTCAGCTACTGAGGATAAAATTGTTTTAGCCATGGTGACTGATACTAAATTACCAACTATAACTTCGCAAATAGGATGAAGACAGCACTATGAAAAATCAAAATTTATAAAATAAAGTTGTTGTTTTTTATATGATAGCCATTTTCTCAATTACTCTTTGCTATTAGCGGTGGTGAAAGTTGCATCATTGACGCCAAATCGAAATGCAATAAAATAGTTATAAATTGTTTAAGTATAATTATAATAAACCAAAAACTATAAAAAAAAAATTTGTTTTTACATACTGTTAGCTTTACAAGCTTCACAAGGCAGGGTTTAATAACTTCATGTTGTAAACTTTCTTGCATGGAAGTCAATGATTTATATTTTCTGTTACAAGTATTATAACCAACTGGGGAGAGAGCAAAGGTCTTTACCGACAGCTGTAACAGAACACAAAGATACAATCAATGATAATGAACATTCACACACACAAAATGGTATAGGATGAATTCATAGTATCAGTAGATGATATGAGGTTGTTACGAGGATACCAAATTATGCACGAAGACAGTACAGCGGGAGTATCGTGCGACGCAGAACGAAGGTTGATGCGACGGCGTACTGTCTGATTGCATACTTTTCGGTATCCTCGTAATAACCTTATAATTATACATCTTTTCCTCCCAATGATACATCATGGGAATCTCAAAATCCAAAAAGTTTAGAACAGAACCCTGGTGGCAGCCATGCATGTTTGTTTTTATTGTTAGAGGACGCTCACGTGCGTAATCAATACATATTTGGAATTCACATTTCCTAATATGGTAGGATGAAAATACCCTTAATCTTAAGTAGCTAGAAGTTTAAAGCAATGGCTTTTTATCAAAAGCACAGAAGAAAATGTTTATGTCTGGAGTGTAGTGATATCTGTGGACACATTTAAATTTAAATGACTTCTTTTGAGTTAAATGACAAGTGCATGTAAGTCAACAAAAACAAGTCATTGTTAATGACATACGGTAGTCCTCGTTGGATTACGAGAAATGTTAATCATGTCAAAAATAAAGTGATACATTTATGCACCAAAAGCATAATTATTAATTTAGAGTAAATAATTGGCTGGTAATCGTAATTTATGGTCAGAAAGTAAACAGGATATGCTATTCATGCACTTTTTGTATCCAAACTGAACAACATATAATTTGAATGAAAAGCGACAAATCCTGTCAAAGATAGCACATTTTCAAAAGATAGATGCCAGTCGGCCATCTTTGATCTGATTATGGAACAAACTGACATGAACATATATCCTCATATATATATACAACAAGATACAACATGGCTGCCAGTCTGCCATCTTGGATTCAATCAGTGAACCACTTTATGTGCATATGTCACAGATAAAGTACTAAACACATGCAAAGAATGAACAGATTTGGTCCATAGGGTTCTGAAATATGACTTCGGATAGATGGACGAAGACCAAATTATAAGTCCCAGTTTTGAACTTTTTTTGAACGAGGACTAATAAAACTAAGAAATAACACACATTGTATTTGCTCTATCAGAAACACATAAGCAAAACTTAGTTGGCCATAGTTCTATTTAATATTACATGTCACTTTAATTTCATTTAGCAGATTTCCATTTAAACACAAAACCCAGTAAAAAATAATGCGTTTAGAGTATGCAGAGAAGACTCCTACCTGAGGGGATAATGTCCTAGCAGAGTCAGCAATAACAAATGAGTAATCATTAGTCATGTCATTGATGCAGTCTATTGTCAATTCACTTGCAACACAACTATTCAGCTGAACTATATCATCATCCAGGCACGGTGAATCTAAATAAACAAAACATATATTGTTACTTTTCTAATTTAAATGTCACTTTTGCAATATTTGAATCTTGTCCTGGTGCTCAGCAGAATTTATGTTTTCCTACTTATGGTGTTTGCTACTGGAAAATATGTATTAGAAGCCACCGCTTCTATTAATTAAAATTGTACAATGCAACAGAAGGGATATGACTTCTATTAGGGCATCTAGATGTATGAGAAATGGTGAATTTATTTATGTTTGTTCAAAAAGAATGGAATGCGACTTCTATTAGAGATGCGGCTTCCAATACAGATTTTACGGTACGGTACGGTACTTCAACTCATGAAATGCAATAAATATTTCAACACTTGTGTAAAATCAAAGAAACCATAAAAAGAACTCTAAAAGTAATCTAGTCTTATGTTAAACTAATCTACTTATGTTACAAGTATGTGTATGACAAAAACTGAAATGTGTTTTAACAGATTATTTACAAAAATGCATTCACTTCTAAAATAGTCTGATCAAAATATGGAAAAATTAATTCTAAATGTATGCACATTTACCTGGAAGCAGAGCACTTGATGGCAGAGGAGACTTCCTTAGCGATGACGTAAGAGGCGAGTGTTTGTTAGAGTTATCCACCTAATCAAAAGAATAAATAACATTGTAATGCTGATGTAACAAAATTAAATCACAAAACAAATTGATGTGCACCAGTCACCAATCATGAATGATACTAAATACTAAGTTTGAATGAAATCAGCCAAATCAAATGTCTGTACATTTGACATTGTTCAAATATTGATTATTGGTGTTTTCTGGTGTCTAAAATGCTCACCAATCGGTCAAATGTAAATGAAATGAAGTGAAAAAACCCTTTGATGTGCACATGTCTTCCATTATGACTTGCCTTTGTCTAAACTTTAAACAAAATCAGTTCAGCCATGTCTGTGAAATGATATTGTTCGGACTTTATCCAACAAGGACTAAAAATAGAATTCAATCTAATCCTTTCAAAGAAGTCGCATATATTTATGGAATTTTAAACTACTAGTGACAATAATAAATGAAAATAGATTGCAGATAATGCCAAATAATCATCCTAATTTATAGTTATCTCCCATGCAGACACATGCTATAATATAAATGCAAACTACTGTAGATAGCAACACCAAGTAACATACACATCAATACACAGATAAAACTAAGAGTATCATCATTTCCTTTTCTAGCGCCTTTTCTGTTTCCTCATGCCTTTTACGGACAGCAGTTAAACACACACAGCCACCAAATGTCATGGTTGAATTTTCAAAAAAACAATTGTTATTCATATGTTAATTAAAAAATACTGTTTTTGTTTTATTAGTAGAGCATGCTCTTATGTGAATGACAGAGTTGTGTCTATGGTCAAAATAAATCATCATTTTAATGATGAGTGAGCGTTGAGTGAGCTTCTAATAGAACAAATAAGGTAACAGGTCCCAAGAATACATAAATTAGATATTATTGAAATGCTATACAAGTCAACATACCAAGATAGTGTTTTTATCCAGTGTTGATGATAAACTCCTGAGGAAATTCTCTTGAGTACTGGATGAACTTGTATGTGATGGTAACTCATTGTTCCTATATGATAGACTATTGTAACTGTTACCAGACTCTTCTAAACTGGATTTGTCCACCATCAGTAAACTGGATTGGTTCAATGATGTATTATTTGGCTTACTAACAACTCTAATAAAATCAAGAAGAGGTTACAATTAAAAGCAAAGAAATCCTATCGCTCACAGCTGGAATAATGTAAGTGAATTAAATAATTGTCTGCAAGGTGAACAAGCATGAAACAGGCGAGACACAGAGACAACAATATGGTACTTGCACCATAGACCCTACAAATGGCAGGATGTAGGATTGCACATACATGTATTCACAAATCAGACTTATGCATGGCATTGTAATTATAACATATTGTACAAGTATGACTTGATGTTGGCAATAAATGAAATGTACCCTCACATGCATCTTCCTGTGATTGAGCATGGAATATACTGCATCTATTCATATTAAAAGTTAGTGATATATAACTGTGGAATAATGAAGTAAATTTGATGCCATAGTCACACGTTTTGTATGTTGTAATGTATTTGTCAATGCAGAGAGTGTGGGAATCATGGGAAAAAATGACTTAACTTCATGGTACAAAGTAATGTGGGATCACACATAAAAATCAACAAGTAAATGGTACAAGTCATAATACACAAATAGCATGAGACATTGAATCATTGAGTATTTATTCACTTGCACCAGACTTGTATGTAGGAAACATGTCATATATTGAAATCAAAACACTTTATTCTAGTTCGATCAATAAATCAGCTCAGGGAATTATGGTGTTAAAGTATGTTGATAATTAAACTGGATCACCATGAAGTTCACATAGACCTTTAAATCTTCAAAAATCACCTTCCCTTCGTCATTATAATTATATTCATGCAAGCAGAACTTCTCATTTCTGGTATATTTTGTTTGTGTTTGGAAACATTTTTTTTTTTACATTTGATCTTATATAAATACAGGCACACATCAACAGTCACATACTAATGCTGCATGTTATGAGTTGAGAATTTATATGCAATTCAGACTTGCATGTGACCTTGTATACAATGTATATTCACAGAGCTTTAGTACCATGGAACTGTGTGGTATATGCCATCAAAGAAATTTGCAACTTTGACTAACAGGTATGAAACACAGTCAATGATCTGTGATCAATGACGTGGGCCTTTCTCAAAATTGAATTGTCGCCAAAATAATCCATCCTAAAAATGTTCCATGGCAACCAGTTTTAAATCTCTCCCCAAATTTATTTGACAATTCTTGTCTCCAGGGGAACCCTTACTAACAATTTCTTGTAACTTTCAGGTATCCATACAATGACCCTATCAGGCAATGGTGAAAAAGCCTTTAAAAGAATTGTCCCCATGCCAGCCGAGCTGGACCCAGCTCTCTCCTGAAAGCTAATGAACTGGTAATTGTTTGAAAAATATTTCATAAAAATTTCATGAAAATTCATTTAATTATCTGAGTTGGCCTAGATGGATAGACAAAACAACTAGCAAAAACATTGGTGAATTAGCAAAAACTACAAAAGAAAGAATACTGTATTGATCTTTACGGTATTCCTTGTACAATACATCAAATTTGCAAGCAATTTAGAACAATAATTACCTTTTATTATGATGCAGCATTTGTGATACATGAATATTATGACCACTTTTCACTGGCACAGAACCCTTGATGGCTTCTTGTGGTAGAGGTGATAAAATAAGCTTGGGTACTAATTTCATACTCTTCAGTGCCTGCAACTCTCTCTGTTTGAGAGTACTGGTTCGCATTGGTCTCTTAGTAGCACTCTTTTGACGTATCACTTTCAATTTCTTGCTAGCCTTCACCGATAATGCAGTTAGCCGGAGTTTGTTCATAAAGCTTACTTGCTGATATTTCCTATTACAAGGCTCAGAAGAGACATTTTTCAGGGAGCTGTTAGAACAAAGTGATGATGCTGAAACACTTTTTATAGATGTTGGCGAGTCTGTGAGTACAGAGACAGGAGGTGCAACAGATAGGGAAGGCCGCTTGGGCGACTGTAATATGGGTGTATTCAGAGATGCTGCATTCATTTTCTCAGATTCATTGAAATGAGAAACCATTGGTTTAAGAGAATTATTAAATGTTGGGCTATAAGGGTTTTTACTGGCAGATTCCAAGCTTTTTTTTCGGTAAAAATCAAATAATAGACTTGGTGATTTCGGACTCTTCGGTGACTTTAAAAACTTTGGACTAGTTGGCGATCTTGCTCCAAAAAGAGCTTTGGGGGATAAACAAGAAGATGACATCAGACAAGGACTACTCAGAGCACGTTGTATTCCTTTAGGATACCTAGATAATGCTGCAATGGGCAAGTCAGGCTCAGTAGCAAAGTCTTCTTGACAGCTCTCAGCAGTTAAAGCTAACTGAGGTGATGGTATTTTCACAGCGGATTGGCTGCAGATGTTTTCAATAGAATCACCACTCATCTTTGGATGCTTATTTGAATCCTGATTTGAAATGTGACTGCTGCTTCCCACATCATTATATTCTGCTGCACGCTTGAAGAACCTGTGCCCTCTTCTTGGAGATGTTGGAAAATGCAATTCTTTTCTGACCAAAGAATAACGCATACGATGACGAACAGGACACAAGTCACTTTTAACAAACTGACCGGCAGCGTTACGCTTTTGCATCCTTGCCTTTGAACTCAACCAATCTAGCTTACTTTCACAATAATCTTGACTATACTGTGGTTGTGGATTATCACTATCAGATAAGTATCGTTCATTGCCTCCGGGTAAAGTACAGAAATTAAAACAACCACTATGTTCAAACTTTGGAGGAAGTTTTTCTAGACTGACTACAGGGAATTTATTCACATTTAACTGCTCCCTAGTTGGGGTACCATGCAGAGTTATAAGTCTTCTAGCAGCAGACTGATCTTTATTTCCCCAGTCATCAAGACTTCTACTTCTCATGAAGATGGATCTCTTTGTTCTTGTAAATGGTAACGATTTAAAATCACTGTCGGCATTGTCCCCATCTATAAGGTCAACTATTCTTGCGTTTCCCTTTTTCACTTCAATGTTTATATTTTCCCCTTCATCAATGTTTTTTTGCTGTTTCTGCATTTCAACCACTGATGGTTGTTCAGTGCTTTTCATGTCTTGTTGAGTAGAGCTATTTTCTTTTGCGGGGCTAAAACGAAAAGAAATTTCATCTTCAACATTGAAGATAATCTGAGAGTCATCTTGAGCAATAGATGTACTTGTATCCATACTCTTATTTTCTGTATCTAATACAGCACCAGTTCTGGAACTTGGGTCTAATAATAAAGACTGCATAGGACAAATTTTGTTTTGTGAATAAAAGTCACATTCATGTTCTTCATGTTCTTCTTTTGATGAAGATGTACATGATCTGGTACACCTGGAGTCAATATTAAAATGCTTGCATTTTTTTGCACGCACCAAACCAGGTTCAGCATTAGTATTACTTTCACAATCACTACTGGGAGTTGCATCATAGTAGACGTTTTCATCATGAAAAGAAACTTTCCTTATCTTTCTTCTTTGGCACCTATCATTATCACTCAATCTCTTTCTTTTCTTCCTAGGACTAACAACATCATCATCATCATCAGCTAGACTTTCAACATCAGCATCCTTTCCAGATACAAAACTCAGAGAGTTATCATCTGTTATTAAAATATCTGGACATAAAGACTCTTGGGAGATATCAGATTCAAGCGGATAATTTGTTGCATGATGTTCAGATTCAACTACTTTTGTGGAGGTAGTTTCTGGTAAAGTTAAATCAATGATGAGTTTGCCATTCTCATTAATTTCTTCAGCATTAGCAGTAGGAATGACAGAAGAAAGGTTGATGCAATGACCTTCTTTCTTGGAAACAACAGTATCAAAAAGATCCACATTTATCACATTACCATTTCTTAAAACCCTACTTTCAGATACTTCAATAGATCGAGTTCTTATCATCCTATTTTTTTGTCGAGCCAGTGGACTTGAATACTCAACATTTTCACTATCTCTTGGCAATGCTGGAGACTGTTTAAGGCTTGCATCTGTTTGTTGATCCTTACACACTTTTTGAGATACCTTAAAAACATTTTCTGAATTTCCATCTGTTGTACTTTCAAAATCATTTCCAGTAGTTTTCAAATCTTTTCTATGTCTTCCTTTACCTGTATCACTTTCATCATTATCTTCATCACTATTACTAGATACTTCGTAGCAGAGTTGTGATTCTGAAGAATCTTTATTTTTCTCTTTGATAAGTTGACAGAGTAACTTCATCAAACTTTCCTCACCAGGAGGTCCAGAGTCCAGCAGCTTTACAAGTTTGTCCACAGCAGAGGTTGGACTTAGTGGCCGCTCAGCTGCAATACTGGAGTCAGGATCTTTGGACAGAAACTGGAGAAGAAAAAAAACTTGATAAGAAGATAGATCCGATTCGTAGTGCAAGTCACACCCAGGTCAAACCTCATACTTGTGATTTCCATTAGAAGAGCACATTGGATTGTGGGAAAATCAATGTTTGTCAACACAAACGTTGTACATGCGCGGCGCGATGACTATTGCCCTTTCAAATGTGTTTCATTTAACATTTTACATTAGACTTGGCAACAATAATTTATTTGTTTCTGTTTTTATTCTGCAGCATTTGCATTTCCAGAATGTTTCATTTTTAAATTCAAACTCTTCTAAATTGTGGAAAAAAAATTATTTGCACTCAATCTGATTAAAATAAGATCCTAGTTTGGGCTTTTTTTTTTTTTTTTTTTTTTTTGGTTAAAATAATATAATATTCATATTTTTTTCATATATTCTATTATTTGTTGAAAAATGTATTTGCTGGTATTTTTTTTAAGTTTTGGTAATCGCGAAAGCCCACAAGGATCTGACCAACTACCTATACCTATACAAATCGCGTTCAAGTCTCGTAGAATCTGCAACCAATCAGAACTTGTGTTACAAATCACTTTCTAGAGCAGGAGAAGCGACACAACAAACAAACACATGAACAATGGTGGACTTGTTTTTCTGCTGTATTTTTTCGGAAGACGTATGCTAAGTTACATTGAACAGTGCAAATACGTAAGTTATCGTTATCGATTTCAGTAACTATTCACGTGCTTTGTTTTTTGAGCTGCCATTCGCCAGTTAGTTTAGCTTAGAAAATGTGTAACGTTATGAATTATTGATTTGATTGTAACGTAACAATCATAGGCGATTTTAGTATGTGGTTGGTTGCCGAAATCATTAGAACTTAAAAAACAAAAGGTCTCTGCCGAATTCTAGCAGGAAATAATGCTTATAAATGACACTAGTTATACAGGGTTGGCTTAAATCGTAGTAGCGGCAATTTTGGGCGTCTTTTATCATTTATAAACAATATTTTCTACTAGACTTCGG